CAAAGATATTTTGAAGAATGTTGGTTTGAGTTCCTACTGACTTCCATTGTACTTTCTGTCTGTACATTGGAAGCCAATGGTAATGTTTGGTTACCAACATTCTTCAAATTGTCTTTTTCATTCCGCATACAGGTTTGGAATAACACAAGGGTGAGTAATGATTTACTAACAGAATTTTTATTGTCGTACAGACTATCCTTGACCTAAAATATTGTGCATTTTAATCCAAATGTTCGGTCTTCGTGATCTAAAGTTGGGAAGCGGTGTCACAAAGACAAAATATTGCCTTGTGAGCACTTCATACTCCATCTGTCCACCAACAGTGGGCTACCCCTTCAAACTGTGGCAGACCCAGATGACTAAACTGTGATTAAAAAAAAAAGTTTTTAGGATTAAGATAACAAAGTGAGCCTAATGTTGCACAAAGGATGTAATTGCTCAAAAAGGGCTGATTTAATCAGTCATGTTTTCTTAAAATTTGTCAGTAGACATTTGATCTTAGTGTAACAAAACTATGTATGTCCCAAAGTCAACAGGTTGCATAAACAGACAGTATGTACTCAATGTACTGCAGAAATCATACATTAACGGGTACAACAGCTTGTCACTAGGGCAGTATCCTCAAAGGTACATCTTTGTAACCTATCAACATTCATATTAGTGCCTTACTGTACCAGTGACAAGATAAAGAAGCAATTTAAATTTTTCTCGCTGTCTTTCTGAGAGTATGGGGGCAGCAGTATCATCCAAATGTCACTGACAGAGCTAACAGACCCTACCTAAAGAGTGCATGCAGCAACATCTGCTACTTTAATCATAAACAACTAGATTCAGGCTGCAGTTTCAAAAACTATTTGAAGAATTATTGCCACTCATAAGTGGCTTCTTTGAAAAATGAACTGATTACGCTTTTGAAAAGATTTAAAATGACCTACTGTCCATCAGTGTTATTGTTAACTAAAACTATTAAATTCACTTTTGGTAACCGAAATAAAGCTGAAATTAAATAAAATCTAAATATTAGATGTAAAAAAAAAAAAGGAAATCTAAATTAGAAATGTTGCCTTGGCATTTAACTGAGATACGTTTACATTGAAGTTCTAAAATTACTCAAATAAATGAATAAATACACACACACATATATATATATATATATATTAATCTCAAACATGAAAATATAAAACAACTCATATTAATAACAATTATAATAGTATATAAATAGTACTAAAATAAAACTGCCATCCACTTAAAATGCAGGTAAATTCAGTTTTCAGTAGCCTGTGCATAAAGTTACTTACTAAGTTGTTACAGTTCACCCAAAAATGCTAATTCAATTTACTCACACTCATGTGTTCAAAACCTGTATGACTTAATTTCTTCTGTGAAGCATAAAAAGACAAAAAAGGACAAAAACAGATAAAGTATTGTTTTGTGTGATCCACAGAAGAAAGAAAAAGTCATACAGGTTTGGAACGACAAGAGGGTGAGTACATGAGGACAGAATTTTCGTTTTGGGGTGAACTATCCCTTTAAAATATGATCTAACCTAATAACCTGCTCAGTAATAGAAATTTGCCTCTAAATGCTATACATTTAGTTTAATGTTTCAAGTACTTTTTTTATAACAGCAGACAGATATTTAGGCCACAATTATGGTATTTAAAAGTGTGGGGAAAACAGCTTTTAATATGAAGAATATGCAAATGACAGAGTACAAACTTGAAACTGTCTAAATTGAAATATTTGCAACTATTTCTAACTATACAGTTCTAGGAATGCTGACCTAATGTGACTACAGTTTCCCCTCCACCATCCTTATCTTCAGACATCAAAGAAGACTTTTATCTTTAGCTACGTCTTTATAGTAATATGAAAATGGTCTGAAGTGGGTGTTTAAAGGAGACACAAGAAAAAGGGTCTCTGATGTCATGAAACATCTTCCCGCACACAGCAGGAACCCATGACATCACAACACCTATGGAGATTGCATCACAGAGCACAATAGATGGCCTGCCATCTTTTCCATTTGAGTGCGCGAGTGTGTTCGCACAGAATATGGAAAGTGCAACGTGTCTGACACTCGGCTGTGTGCAGGTCAGTCGCCTGGGACTTTCCCTCCCCGAGCAGCACAGCCGAACACATGCAGAGCTCAGCACTCAGGCTAGCTCACTCGTGCATCACGCACAGGGTGGCTTGCATGTGGAGACGTTCAATCGCCCCTTCGTAGGGGAAGTCCAGTGTGTTGTGTTATGAGGAAGGCGTGGGGGCCAGTGTGCGTCTCAGACCCGGCTCCGTGTTTGTGAGGGGATCCCCCTGCTCACTCCAAAAAAACAACGCTTGAGACTGGGGGCAGCAGCCGCGGATCTCAGTCAGGACAAAAACAAACATATTTAACTTTTTTTTTTTATGAGAAGTTGGTTTTTAGACTGCTTTTCAATGGCGCTGAATCTTTTGATAAAGCGGACCTTGTGGTTCCTACAGACCATTTTGTGTGAATCAGTACTACTATAAAATGCAAAAGAACCAAAGAGTGATAACGGACAATTTTTTATTTTTCTCTATTTTTGACAAGTGAAACTAAAATAAGGGTCGATTAACCATAAAAGGCTATTGTTGTTTTCTGCTGGTAATCAAATAACATTCAAATGTTGTTTGTGCTGAAGGAGGTCTCACAGTGCATTGATTTCAGTATTAGATTTGCCTCTCAGAGGCTTGTGTTATCAAAGCCTTACAGGGAAACCTCACCCAAATCGATCAGCCACCCCAGCAGCACATAGAAAGATACATGAAATGTGTGAGCAGCCTGGGTAAACCCAGTTTAGCAGTTTATGTTTTATCTAAACCTGAGAGTTGTTGATCAGAATCATCTTGATCAGATGTGCTAACTGCTAAGAAAAACAGAAAAGATCATAAGAAATCATACATGAAGCATCGGTATTTCCACAATTACAGCATACAAGCAATTACCCAAGAGGCAGATTCTCTTATTCAATGTGCAATTATAATTTATTCAACTTGTCTGCTATATGTGTAGTGATACGCCTTAAGCTGTAAGTATTAAAGATCATAAAGATCTATTCTGTTATATTAATAATATTTAAACAAACCATTACATTTGTATAATAATTAACCATTACAGTGGCTTATTAATGTTATTCAAATTTCATTTATTTTTAGCAACCTGAGACATTATTAGATGTCTGAAATATTTAATTGATCAAAAGTTAAGGCAAAATAAGTATTCATGGTCTGGACACAATGAGCTCCACAGACTATGGAAACTGTATCATAATTTTAACTTCATAATTTGTCATTGATAATGATATGTATTAATTGTTCATTCATAGTGTATTGAGTTTCTCACTGTGCAACGTTTCATTTATATCTACTCATAATCCATGAACAGAATTAAAAAGAAATCCATCATAGTTACAATACCGCACAGGGGCATTTTAAGTGTTTATCATGGAATTTTGCAATAACTTTTACAATTTTAGCACAAAAAATCTACATAATTGTAGTAAACAGAACCATGTCACCTTCTGCAAATCCTCAGTATGGATTTCCTCAGTATATAACATTAACAAATCTTAATGTTATATAGTTCACACTCTTATACAACAATCTATGATCTCTAACACCTACAGTCACATTACCGCTACAAAGGTCGATCAGCTGATCGACAGCATGTCAGAAGATGGAATAAGGCCTTGTTTGCTTTGGCATAGAAATGAATGATGAATTAAGGCAAAAGGAAAATTAGCAGGTCCACTCATTGTAGCATGTCACATATGCATGTTTGCACTGCGTGTAGGAGTTATTCTACAGTTGTGGTTGTTTTATGTGCATTGAGCGTCTGGTGTTTATTTCAGAATGCGCGTGGGTCGCCAACTCTGCCGTCTCGTGGCCTCCTCTACAAAAACAAATGTGCTTGAGTGTGTCACTGAGTGTCGTTCTTACTGTTGTTGTTGCTCTTAAGCTGTTGTAGCTGCAGGGCGATACTTTCTTTCCTCTTCCGTTGGATCAGGTTGCCCCCGGCAAAACCAAGCAGTCCACCCCCCACGGCAGCAGCGACCCCTATATAATTATTTATTTTAATTATTATTATTATTATTATTATTATCATTAGTCCTATCTATGATCATTATTTTATATGTAATATATTTAATATAATAACTAAATAACTATTTAATAATTACAACAATAATTTTAACGAAAACAACAATTATTATTATTTTTATCCTAGCTATGATAATTATTTAATTTAATTATTAAACAATAATTATTAAATAAAAACAACAATAATACAAATTATTATAAATGATTCTAATTCAATTATTATTCTAAAATTATTATTAATATTATTAGAAATCCTCTCTATATCATTTTGTTTTTTGTACACATTTCTTCATGTTTGTTGTACCACATGGATTTTTTCAAATATTAAACAATACAATAATTACAATTAAATAATAAAAAAAAAATTTTAAATATGCTTTTTTTCTTCATTATATCATGACAATTATCCTCATGACATTTTTGACAATGTCTAAAAAAATCATTTAAATTCTAAAATAAAATACATGCTCGTTATAGAAGAGATGTGTTCAACTCATTGTGTGTATAAATTGCATTCTGTATGTATTTTTGAGTCAATACAAATGAGCCTCATGTCACTGACCCACATGCAATGTGCATGAAAGCATCAAACAGGTGAGAAATGAATCATTTAGGTGGCATCAATGTCCCAAAACGGTGTTTGAACTCACACATTTTTCATGTGCTATTTTTCTGATAACCAAACAATTATAAAGTCTTTCATGTCCAGTTAACAGCCAAACAGAAACATATGCAGTCATATGTAAACACACGCACAATATTAATCAGAGATCTAAAAAAAAAAGGAAAAAAAGCCACGATTAAATTGGATGTGTACAGATTAAACCAGACCTGGTAAATTAATTGATATCAGGTAAAATGAAAAACACCTTTAGCCAGATTATTCTTTAATTAGCACAACGAATCAAGCCCCCCAGCGTGCACACACACACACAATTTAATTTTTGTGAAGATATGTAAACTTTAAAGGCAGGGTTGACTATCAAATGCCACCTTCTCATCTCTCCTTCACCCTTTCTCATGCTCTCGTTCTCTGTCATCTAATCATCTTCACAAGGCAGGGTTAACCAAGCAGTTAATTATGTCTGGAGAGAGAGATTGAGGAAGTAACTCATGTTATTCGGATACACCTGAGCCAGCACTTTAAGGACTGTCTCTGTGTGTGTGTGTGTGTTTGTCAGAATATCTGTCTTTAGCGGTGTGTGTATGTGTATGTGTGTTGACCACCCCCTGTCCTTTTCAGCAATCACAGAGGTGGGTCCACTTTCTACACGGGCATCAAACAAAATGCTCAATAGAACTGCATTAACTCTCAACTCCAAAAAAGAGAAACATTTCAATTGAGACTCAATCAATAAAACACATACAAACCCTCGATCGCACGCAAACACACACGGGCCATGCCTCCATGTTTACCATTCCCTTGCTTTTTCTGTCAAAAGTTGGCACTCCGCCGCATGTGTATGTGTGTGTATGTATCGAACCCCCAGCAGGAACTTGAATGCGGTTTATAGACTCTCTTTTACACTCTTTAGACTTCCATGCGCTCACATACACATCGACTCCCTGTGAGGGGCCAACCAACACACATCGATCCGATCCCTCTCCACTCCATGCCTTCCGCCACCATTGCCACTGCTCTCTCCCCTCTCTCTCTTAATTGTGGTTTCCTTGCGCTCTGAGGAGGATCAATGGGCTGATGGCGGGGTAGGCCGAGTGAAGCAGGGGGGTAGAGTGGAATCGATTCCCTAGCAGGAGTGTCCCCTCTCCCCCTTACCTTCCCTAGGCTCCGAGTCCCCTCCTCCACATTAGCGGCTGCTATGCTAACATTGGCCTCAATGCTGTCAATCTTCTCCTGCTGAGCCTAAGACAGAAAGATGCAAGTTACAGACTGTCCATACTCGCATACAAACTCTAATATATATATATATATATATATATATATAATTTGTATAGTATATCTAACATTATATATAACAAACATATGACACTATATAAATTCAACTGTAAATTTACTAATGCATTATTAGAATCAAACGTTTTACCTGTTAATATTATTTAATGGACCTAAACTAACATGAACAATGAACAGTTGTATTTTTATTAACTAACATTAACAAAAATGAATAAATACAGCAACAAATGTCTTGCTCAATATTAGTTAATGCATTCAATAATGTTATTGTAAAGTGTTATTTACATTTAACAGAAAATCATAATGTGTGTGGGAAATATACTGTAGGAGTTTCAAGTGGTCACAATTTCCTGTTTTCACCAGTTCTACTTCTGCGGTTATTTTAATTAAAATAACAAATATTACAGAGAACAAATATTAGTTTATAAAATTCAAACTTTACATTTTGTATTGTTTTATACAATATAAATACAATATATTAAATATATATTTTATACAAGTGTTTATATAAAATAAATTCTAAACTTCTACAAAAATAAAAGCTCCATGTATAATAATTAAGAATGTACAATATTTAGAAAATTTTTGTTTAAAATAGTTTTATATGGCATGTCAAACTGCAGAAAAGTGCTGCTGTTATATCAACTGCCCATATGTGTCTACAATTATTTAATAACCAATAATAAATACATAAATAATTAAAATTAAAATAAATAAATAATTCTTGAATCCCATCAAATATACAAATACCTCATAAATAGTAAAAAGCAGACAAAGACATACTCAGTAATCTTGGTAGTGGGTAGCTGGGGGTTTAAGTGCTGGGGCAGAAGGGTGAATGGAAGGGGGCTGGTTGTCGGGGGTAACTGGGTGGTCTGTCGGAAGCTTATGAAATATTCAAAGAGTGGCAGCTGTCTCTCTGTCTAAATCAGTGTGAGCTCTAAGTAACTACTACACACAAGTGCATACGTAAACACACACACACATATACACAATAGAGACGGCTGGAAAAATCTTCTTTAACTCTCCAGCACAGAGTTACATGAGCCTGGCACCTGCCCCTGTGTAGCATGTGTTTGTGTGAAAAGATATCTGTACTTGCATTGCTCTCTGCAGCTCATGGCGACTGTAAAGTTAGTGTTCTTCTTCCGCTTCATTTTGAAATAATTTGTGTGTATGTAAATGTGTCTTGAGTGTGCTTTCTCAGGGCTCAACAATAAGGATGGCCTGTTGGCCTATGGCCAGTGTGAGAGAGTTTCAGATCAGTCGATGCACTGTCTCTATATGACCAGTGCTCCACTGCCACTAAATCTTACATGTGTTGATCCTGTATGTGTTTTTATGCCTTGCAGACTTAAACATTTGGTTTTCTGACATGTACTGGACATTGTTGCTGTGAATTCTTTAAATGTTACCAAATGTTATGTAACATAGATTAGGTTTTGCTGATATTTCGAGATTGACACAATCTTGAAAGCATCAGTAAGAATGATATGAAAATGATAAAAGTATAATAATCAGTAATGTTTCAAATTGCAAACCATTATTCCAGGTCATATACTGTATATAATAGATAGACAGTCAGATAGATAGATATACGGACAGACAGACGGGCAGTCATACGGACGGACGGACGGACGGACAGATAGATAGATAGATAGATAGATAGATAGATAGATAGATAGATAGATAGATAGATAGATAGATAGATAGATAGATAGAAGAAAAGAAGATAATAGATAGATAGATAGATAGATAGATAGATGGGCAGTCATACAGACGGACAGACAGACAGATGGGCAGTCAGACAGACAGACGGACAGACAGCTTGGCAGTCAGACAGACAGATGGGCAGTCATACAGATGGACGGACAGACAGATGGGCAGTCATACAGACGGGCAGTCAGACAGACAGACAGACAGATGGGCAGTCATACAGACAGACAGACTGATGGGCAGTCAGACAGACGGACGGACAGACAGACAGATGGGTAGTCATACAGACGGACGGGCAGTCAGACAGACAGATGGGCGTCATACAGACAGATGGGCAGTCAGACAGACAGACAGAGAGAGAGACATATAGATAGATAGATAGATAGATAGATAGATAGATAGATAGATAGATAGATAGATAGATAGATAGATAGATAGATAGATAGATAGATAGATAGATAGATAGATAGATAGATAGATAGATAGATAGATAGATGGGCAGTCATATGGATAGAAACTGACAGACAGACAGATAGATATACAGACAGACAGACAGACGGACGGACGGACGGTAGATAGACAGATAGATAGATGGGCAAATGGATGGATAGAAACTGACAGACAGATAGATAGATAGATAGATAGATAGATAGATAGATAGATAGATAGATAGATAGGCAGTCATACAGACAGACAGATAGACAGATAGAGACACAGACAGACAGACCATTGAAATAGTTTTTAGTGAAATATAATTTCACTACTACAATTAAGTCCTATTTCTGTTGGTTAAATAACGGCACAATTCATCATCATCAGTGGAGGACAAGCCAAAACACTCATCACTAATCAAAATCCTATAAGCATTTATTTATTAGTCATCCGGATCCGCACACACCTTACCACCTAACCCTGTAAACAGACTATTTAAAGACACTCACTAATGACTGGGTAAGAAAGCTATTGATGGCTTTCTTTTTCTCTCCTCCCTCCCCTCAGGAGTAGATGATAATCAGCACCGTCTGCTCACAAGCTGCATGGATACTCAAGAGAACACACAGTCACACACACAGACCTCCTGGGTTCATCTTTGGCTCAGTGTTAACGGAATAAACTATACTGTGGGTGTCCTCTACAGAGAGGCAAGCGCTAATAAGGCTGGCTATCATATTATACTTACCACCATCCAGATCCCATCATCGTTCCCCAAGAGTGTCAAGTGATTACTGACAGTCAAGATCAACTGTTACTGATATTAAGCTTTTGGTTTGTAGCCATGAATAAGCTTAAAGGAGCTTGCTGAATGACAGGAAACATACTCAAAATACTAATATTAAAAGGAGTACTTTTGAAGCATTTTACCTTAAGTTCACTATTAGTCAAGGGCTATTAGTCAACCCTAAAAGGGATAGTACACCAAAACATTTAAATTCTGTCATCATTTACTCATCTTCATGTCATTCCAAACCTGTATAATTTTCTTTCTTTGGTGCTACATAAAAGAAGATATTTGGAAGAAAACTGATAATCAAACAGTTGCGTTCCAATTGACTTCCATTGTATGCACACAATATATGATGGAAGTCAATGGGAAACTATCTATTTGGTTACGAACATTCTTCAAAATATCTTCTTTTGCTTTCTGCTGAAAATAGAAAGTCATTCAGGCTTCTAATAACATGAGGGTGAGTAAATGATGACAGAATTATAATTTTTGGGTGAACAATCACTTTGAGACTGAGAGAGAGAGAGACAGACAGTTTTCCAACTGCTCATTGTTCTAATAATGGCTGCTATATCGCATGGCTTCTCATTAATCCTCGCTGGTTAACACATGGCTGACAGACTGTCACCAATCTCTTTATCTCTTCTCAATCACACACACACTGCTGGGATCAATACCACCTTGTTGGCTCTTAGGAGACAAAGCCATTTGTCTGACAGCTCTGCCAAACCTAAGGGTGTTGGTCACCATCTTTTATCAACACACATACCACACATTCTGTCTCACGCTGTCTCTCCCTTCTTACTTTCTTTCTTTCCTTCCAAAAAAGCAAAGAATGAATCGTTTCCATAGATGTGTGATACTTACATGAACAAGAGTGGTGAACTCATTTACTAAACCATTCAGCTCCAGTAGGTCCTAAACAAACAAACCACAACAGTCACACACACTTAAAGTCTTTGTATTCAAATATATTTATGTGTTTGTAAGTGTTTGCGTGTATTACCTCAGCTAAAGAATCCCAGGACTCAGCGGCGTTCTGTTCTGGAGGGATTTCAGGCAGGAGCAGCTGTGTTTGAGTGACAGGGGAACCGGGCACACCTGTATCACAGTCACCTAACCCATAACATGAAAGTGAAAATGCAAAAAAATAATCATTAAAACACATCATGAATAACTTGATAAAACACAGACACTCTCAGAAACACATACTGTGCAACATATCCGAGGCGGTGCTGATAGTTTTGTGAGAGTCTTTGCCAATAGTTGGAGCATCCGGCCTATTGATTGCATTCGAGTGAATCCAGAGGAACTCCTGAATGGCAGTGGAGGCTCGATCTTTGATTGGCTGAACAAGTTTCTCCAGAGCTTCAGCATCAGCACTGCGGACCCGCCCACACAACTTCTCCATCTCCCGCAGGTTCGATCGCAACTGCTGCAAGGATGAAAAGTGAAAGTCTTTGTGATAACAGGATCCATGGTTTCATTCAAAACCTCAATATAGTATTTTCCTTCAACACAAATTTGACCTGTTCAATTGAACAAAAAATGTGTATATAACAAAATGGGATATATAACACTGTGTATGATAGTTTAACATCTTAGACCCTAGGATCTGACCCAGTACTGTCAAATTTTTAAATCTGAAACCAAAAATTGCTCACACTTATTTCTCTCCATGCGAGTACAACAAGATACACATTTCATCCACTGCCAACATCTCAGTGTTTGCAGAAAGAGTTGGTCAAATTAAAAACAATGATTTCCCACTGCTTTTCCATGACCTTTACAGTTGTTGTTTTTTTTAGTTATTTTTTTTTAAAGAAATAATTGTACAGAAAATGCTGGGAAAGGTTTGTATATATTAGGTGTCGATCTTCTTTTAAATTATTATTTTTATTATTATTTACTTATTTATTTTGTAATGAAAACTACTTTCCTCTCTTCGTGGTCTTCATAACGTTTGACAAATAAAATATTGTTACCAGAAAATCTAGGGGGAAAAAAATATATTAATTACAGAAATGCTCATGATTTGATTATTTTTCATTATACAGGCCTGGATATCACAATTTCAAGATTCACTCATTTTTAAAGGTTTTCCATGAGCAGAAGCATCCCGTGATTATTTATTTTCTCATTAATTTCGAACCAGATGTTGATGAAAACCTGAAGCTATATATATATAAAAGAACTGGTGCTTCCCATCAGCTCATGTCCAGAAGCAAACATCTAGCAGGGATTACAGATCAATTCATTCGTACTGAATACAGAGGTCCAAGCTAACAGCCGGCCAATCAAAGCTTTCAGCTCAACTGCTCTCATTTCACACTCTGAATAACCATACTCAGGATCATCCCTCTTAAATGATTCACATACACACAGAACACTAAAAGCATTACTAATGTATGCAACTTGCTTTGTAATATAGAATGGGGACACAAAAAGACAGACGAAATATATCTTAATATCTTAAAATCTGGGTCAGTCCACCCCACCCCCCAAAGCTCCTTCTATAGGTGTGTGATGAGAGCAATTTTAGGGTTTTTCCTCTCTTGCTCTCTCTATTTCTGTCCCCTAGGGAGCTACTTTAACAATGTCTGTCTTGTTTCCGTCTATTGTCAGTCGTCCACATCTCGCTGACACAGAAACACTTGCAGGCTCTCACACACTCTCTGCAGTGGTGGACACAGGAAAGCTCTCTGGCATCTCTGGGGGAACAAGACCTGGGTGCTAAGGTCACAGTCACACACACACACACACACACACCCATGGCGGCACATAACACACTCCAAGGACTGCTCCATAAGAGGCCCGGACAGACTCTCAGAAACATTAACACACAGGTTACACGCTTGTCTGGCCATTAGGTAGAGAAAATACATCACACATACACCATCACGTACACCAGAGACCTGGGTCAAACATTACTTAATATATAGACATGTCTCACAGCTGTATCAGCACAGGATGAAGGCATGTTTCTGATGAGATCTTTTTATCATGTTTAGAGAAATTTTTGAATGCACAGATTCATTCCTTTTAATTTTTGTTTAACCTGCATTGAACCTGATCAACATGATGACATTTCCTTTTGGCTTAAAGGTATAGTTCATCCAAACATGAAAAATCTGCTTACTTACCTTCATTCCTTTTTAAGATATAGATGAGTGTTTCTTCATTGGAACAGATTTTGAGAAATTTAACAATAAATCACTTGCTCACCAATGGATCTTCTGCAGTGAATGGGTGCCGTCAGAATGAGAGTCCAAACAGCTGATAAAAACATCACAGTAATCCATAAGTATTCCACATGACTCCAGTACATGAATTTATGTCTTGTATAGTGAAAAGCTGTGTGTTTGTAATGAACAAATTCATCATTAAGATATTTATGAACTGATGTGGTTTGAATTACTTGTGGATTATGTTTAAGTTTTTTTATCAGCTGTTTGGACTCTCATTCTGACGGCACCCATTCACTGCAGAGGATCCAGTGGTGAGCAAGTGAAGTAATGCTACATTTCTCCAGCTCTGTTCCGATAAGAAATTCATCTACATCTTAGATGGCCTGAGGGGAAATACATTTTCAGCAAATTTTCCTTTTTGTGTGAGCACTTCCTTTAATATTGTGTTTTTAAAAAAAAACAAGTTATTTATAGTAGAATGTACAAGCTGCTCTTTATCATACAGTGAAAGTGAATGGTGACCATGGCTGTCAAACTAGTTTTTAAGTTAACTATTATTAGCCATTTCAATTTCAAATGACTGTGATTGTATGGAAGGCAGCAGGGTTAGGGTTACGTAAAGATGACAGAACTTCCATTTTTGGCTAAATAATCCCTTTTAACTGTGCCCATATGATGTTAAGATTTATTATGCAACTTAACCATGGCAACAGCCTGTTACATCACTAAGAATGATTTGTCTGAGCAACATTCCACAGTGCCTTGTGGCACATGGGAATATTTTCAAACCAGGTCACTACCCTGAGAAAACCAACAATAAAATGGAGAGATATTTTTGGTGAACTGAAACAACACATATGAATCCAAATCCCACTAGTCGTTAATGGTAATTGTCCCACACTTTGCGACCATGACTTTTCCAGTCATTTGCATGTGGATAAGGATTTTTACATTTTATGGAAATTGAACTCTCAAGAATAACTTATAGACAAAGAAATACTACAGAAGAGCATATCATGTTTCGAAAACAGTTGTGCTTCTTAATATTTTTGTGGAAATCATGATACATTTCAGGATTCTTTGATTAATAGAAAGTTCAAAATGTATTTTGTAACATTACAAATGTCTTTACTGTCACTTTTGATCAATTGAACACATCCTTGCTAAATAAATATTTCAACTTCTTTAAAAACAAACAGTGCCATAGTTATCATTGTTGATCCTCGCGACTTCACATTTAAATGTAAATGTAAAAAAATTGCATTATTACAATTTTGTTGTACCTGGACAGTGCGGCTGGAGTTGATGTGCTCTTGGTGAAGTTTATCCCACTGACTGTTTCTCTGAAACTGTGAAAAGGAAGCTTAGTTAATTTGACAGCGTTATCTGTTTATGTACATTTAATAAAATCTCCTCATGATCACAGCCTGGTAATTCACAATCATCTAGGTTTCCATGGCTCTGCAAGATCCCCCAAACCCCGTTATTTTATTCTATGTTCCTCAAGCAGGCTGACCGGGAGAGATTTCAGATACACCGTCAGCTATTCAGCACTCGACTGTGGTGACCACACACAGACACATGGCTCTCTCTGTTGACCATATGCTGAGTTTTGGATGTGATGTGCTGGGCTTTGCTGTCGCTGTTCATGTGTGTGTGTGTTTGTACCTTTTCTATGTTGTGTTGGTGCTGGTGCAGTCTCTCCAGGTCAGTGGGAATGGCCACTTTAATGAATTTCTGAATGGGGGGCTCCAGGCGCAGAAGTGGAAGCTTTCCAGCCTCCTCCGCCATCATGACCGTCTCTTATGACCTCTCTTATAATGTCACAGGCTTAACGACTCCATACATAATTAGTCTTCCTCGAAAAGACAGAAAGAGAGAATGTGACAGTTAAACCATATATGAAATTAAATGGGGGTTTTTTATATTAAAAAATTATTAAAGATAATAAAGTATTAAGTTAGGGGAGGGTAGTTTGGGGTACTATTTCTCTATCAGAAAGTAAAATAAATAAATTAACAGTACTGGTTAGTATCATGGTAAAATGATAGCAACAGATGGTAATATTATGGTACTTTTGATATATGCTATACCATGGTACTGAATGCATAATTTTGTACCATATTATTTACATTGTACTCTGAGATACTTCACAGAATATAGTCCAACCACACAGTAATGCTATTACCATGATATATGTGTAGAAAACATGGTAAGATACTAAAGAGCAAGTGTCACATGTCAACAACATTATGTCAGATGTCAGACAACACGTCTAGCGTGATAATACTGTTACACTATCAATGTTAGCTGGCAAAACAGGACTGTGTGTTCACATTATCATGCTCAACATAATATTTTTAATAAGCCATAATAATAAAATCCCTAGGGCAAACAGATGAGTATAAGTTCAGCTAGCTTGCTACACTCCCTCAACAGAGACTTTATTCAGCATTGTGATTGTAAACTACTTTTTTTCAGTTTCATATAAGTCTTTCCTTACCTGTCGAGAAAACAGCGAAGACCTGCTGTCGATGATTTCAGTCACTGCCACTAACTTTGTGTTGGTAAACAGTTTCGCTTTGTGCTGTGTGTAACTACAAAATGTGTCCGTCTATGGCTCTCTGCGGAACTAAAACTGTTATAAAAGAGTGAACGTGCTGGTCAACTTTATCATCCAGGAGATAACACACTTTACAAATAAACTATGTTTAGTAACGAAAAAAATGCTAATTTTTGCATATGAAATAGCAAAGCTAAATACTTGAGTTTACTTTAACTTACTTTTTTCTGGGAGAAGTAAACTATAGCCTATAATATTTAATGTCCACATTTGGTTATTTGCAATACTTATGAAATGTTTATTTTCACATTTTACCATCTGAATCTGAATTTTTTCACATTTCATAACAATAACGTAGGCCTATATATTATGTTATGAAATGTGAAAAAAGAGCCATGTCAAATGTACAATTTATAATGTCAAATGTACAAATATATTTTAGATCATTAAAAATATATAGGCCTACTTCTTACCTGATGTCAGATAAGACGTGTGGAGTCTTTCTCACATACTGTCCTTTCTGATTCTAAAAATTCTTCCTACAAATCATTATGTTCCGTGAGTTATGTAAAAATGTACAGTACATAACTGTTGCCATATCCAAAGAAAGTCTAAAACAAATTTGTCCAGAGGATTGGAATGATTAGATAATGTTTACAGAATTGTATCACATACTTTGCAAATTCTACTCCAGTCTTTAAAGCACAGTATGCATATTAAATGTGCAATAAAGTAATATTAGTTACATTCTTTTCTGTGTATGTAAATATATGAGGACTGTTGGGTATCATTAAGGTTCAGACACACTGCACACACCTGCTCTTCCCTCAGCGCCCCAATGATCAGTGTTTCCGGCTTTAGGGAGCACCAACGGATTAACCAAAGCCCACTGTGTGCTCCCTCCCTCCCTCCCTCCCTTTCTCTCTCTCCCGCTCTCTCTTTGGGTAGCTTTATTTCTGTATCTCCCAAAGGCTTTTGTAGGTTTATTTTCCAGCCACACACATACACAAACAGAAAGACATAGAGAGAGATGTAACCACCATTTCAGTTCATAAAGAACCTACAAAGAAATCACCCACACAACCAGGTGAAAAGCCACACTGCAGACGACAAGTCTTCATTTTATTTTTCAGGTACAAACCACCATATCTACATGACTGATAATCACTCCTCCGTTCTCCAGTTGACTGATTAATTAATAATTAAATAAATAAATCTACTAAGAAAAAGTATGTGTATTATTTTTGTTATTTTCTTTATGTATTTTTTATACATATTTATAATAAAACATATATTTTTACATTCTTTTATGTATAAATATTTATGAATATACATATATCATAAATTCATTTTCTTAAATACACTACTGTTAAAATTTTAAGAAATTCATTTTCATTCAGCATTAAATTGATCCAGTAAAGATATTATACTGTTACGAAAATATAGCTGTTCTCGTTAACTTTCTATTCAGCAAAGAAAACTGAAAATAAAATGTATCACGTTTCCACAAAAATATTAAGCAGCACTGTTTTCAACATTGATAATTATAAGAAATTTTTCTTAAGCACCAAGTCAGCATATTAAATTAATAATTTCTGAAGGATCATATGACACTGTAAGCATACTACAATAAGCATTCAGTGTTTCAAACACAGGAAGAAAGTACATTTTATAATATATTAAACAGTGTTGGGGAGTAACTATAGTTACATGTAACAGAATTACGAAATTTAATTACAAAATAAATGTAACTGTAATCTGTTACAGTTACTAAGAATTTTTTTTAAAATTAAATTACAGTTACTTATGAAAATGTTAAAGATTACAAAGGGGGTTGCATCTGAATATTTTCACACATATACAGATTTGATTTATATCTTTCCCAAATTGCATCGACTGCTCTAAAATGTGACACACTAATATTTCAGGAGTTTAGGGTTAGGTTAGGTTAGGTTAGGGTTAGGGTTAGTTTTAAAGATTAAATTCCCCCCCCCAAAGCATTGCTAGATGCCAATGTTACTTGACATGGCTATGCAAATATTTTGATTTCAAAAAGCTAGTATTAAACTATATCTTATGATCATAAATCTGTATTTAACCGCAGAATGATCTCAAAGTAAACATAGCTGCTAAAGTCTGATTTTGTGGTGGCTGTGCTTTAAATGAAATAATTATGATCTTAATTCAAGTGAAGAAGGATTTTGAAAGTCTGATACTAACTAGTGTTGAGTCCTACTGTAAAGTTAACCGTGACTGCTTTAAACGGTTGAAAATTAAAATAACATTTGAAAACATTTGTTAAAAATTTAGAAAAGTAATCAAAAAGTATTCAAATGTTATCAGTTACATTACTTTAATAAAGTAATTGAAATAGTTACACTACTATTACATTTTAAATAGGATAAATTGTAATCTGTAACCTATTACATTTCCAAAGTAACCTTCCCAACACTGATATTAAAATAGAAAACACTTCTTTTGAATTGTAATCATATTTCACAATATTGTTACTGTTTTTACTGTATTTTTGATCAAATAAATGCAGCCTTGATTAGAATGAGACTTTTTTTTTTTTTTTAAACATCCCACCAAAAACCTTAGACACAAATTTATTATCATAAAAATCAACAAGACACTGATTGAGCAAAACACATAGAAAAAAGGAGAGCGTGAGATACATAAAGACAGAAAGAAGGAGTGGGAGGATGGAAAAACTGAAAGTGTTTGCGGTAGAAACTAAAATGGCTTTTGAGAGGAGAATCTGAACCCAACAACCTGGCAGGTTGCAGTATGTTCATCGAATCGGTCTCAACTTTCATCATGAAGCAGAGCTCTCCATCTCTCCAGACTGTCCCTCCCCTGCCGCCCTCATCCCTCCTGACCGAGGGGGAGACCCACTGTAGTGGGGTAATACCACATGTCTGTGAAGGGACAAGTCTTCATTATATCACCATCATCTTCATTTCAACCCCATCACCCAAATGTAAAACCCAAAAGGCCAGACCACATTATTTCAGATGAGATTAGAATCTGGAATACCCCCTTCATAGATCAAACAAGCCAGTGCAGCCTACACCCGCGCTTCATACCAAAACAATATGAGACTAAAACTAAACTAAGATAGAGAAAAAAACTCTTACATTCTCTGAAGAAAATGTGACTGGTGTTTGCCTGTGACAAAAGGGCTAAGGTGTTTGCCAGGTGTTGCTGTGCATTCTGAGTGTTTTTAGCATGTTGCTATGATTGTTTTGATGTTCTGTGGTTGCTAACTGCTAGCTTTCTGTGATATTCTGCAGCTTAAATATGGCTCAAGTTATTCTTTCATCGTAAATCTATTTGATCTTTCACCCACTTTATAATTTTTCACCCACTTTAAGTACATATTAACAATGGTATCTTTTCAAAAAGCTGTCCAAGTTGAGGTAAAATTCAAGTTTGAGCTCAAACAGTGCAGGATGAGTTATACGTATATGCATATGATTAGGGCTTTGCTTTATTTAAAAACCAACACTGGTGTCGGGGAGTAACTAGTTACATATAATGGAACTACATAATTTAATTACAAAATAAATTGAATTGTAATCAGTTACAGTTACTGAGAAAAAATTAGTAATTAAATTACTGTTACTTACTTACAAAATGTTAACGATTACAAAGAGGGTTACATCTGAATTTTTTCACACACACACACACACACACACATACAGATTTAATTGATTTCTATCATAAATTGCAGTGACTGCTCTAAAATATGAGACACCAAATTTAGTACAGAGAACAGAACACATGCTTATTTGATAACTGTTTTATTTCTAATTTGGGTTTATGTATATCCTTTTTTTTCAAGGCATTGTTAGATTCCAGTGTTTCCCATGGCATAGCTATGCAAAGATTTGATTTCAAAAACTTTATCATAGCTGTTAAATTATTTGTTGTTGTGATTTTAAATCTGTATTTAACCTCAGTCAGAATCTCAAAGTAAGTCTGATTTTGTGGTGGCTGTGCTTTAAAATTAAATTATTATAATCTTAATTCAAGTGATGTAGGATTTAAAAATTCTGACAGTAATTACAACCCCAATTCCAGAAAAGTTGGAATGTTTTTTGAAATGCCATAAAATCAAGAATGGACTCTTTTCACAAGAATGTGATGACGTGTTTAAAGTAAATCCACGAAAGTTTTTCATATTTGTATTTTTTTTTTAATGTATGTACATTTATAACACTATTCGTTGTATTATATCACCTTTGCATCAAATTACACACACAAAAAAAAAACAGTTAACGCTAATGCGAGGGTGTTTCTAATAAATATTCATAAATATATTTGTGGTACTCACTCATTCACTGCTCTTCAAGTTAACCCAACTATGATGACGACTTCCGCTGCTGAGAAACCCAGAAATGTGAAAAAGGTCCAATATGTTAGGCCTATTTGTTCATTCTCTTTAAAATGTATTTAATTTGACTAACATACAAAGAAAAAAAATCCAATGTTTTCACTGGCCAATTTTATTTTGTAAATATACACAAAGTTTGATTTTTGATAGCTGCAGCACACTTCAAAAAAGTTGGGACAGAGACACGTTTACCACCGTCACATCAACTTTCCTTTTACAATGTTTAATTGTTTGGGAATTGAGGATACTAATTGTTAAAGTTTTGCAAGCAAATTTTTCATCCAATCTCGCTTAATATAAGACTTCAGAAGCTCAGCAGTCTGTGATCATCGTTATCTGATTCTCCTTTCCATGACTGGTCGTACATTTTTAACAGGAGTCAGAACCGGACTGCAGACAGGGCAGTCTAGCACATTCACTCTGTGTCTACAAAACCACACTGTTGTAGCACATGCAGAATGAAACCTGGCAATGTCTTGATCTAATAGCCATAGGCTTCACATGAAAGATGTCATCTTGATGGCAGTATATGTCTCTGTAAAATTTCTCTATATACCTCCATGTCATTGGTACCTTTGCACATATGCCAGTCACCCATGCCGTTTGCTCTGCTGCACCCCCATACCATGACAGATGTTTGCTTTTGCATCTGTTGATGATGAGAGTCTGGATGGTCCCTTTGGTCTTTGGGACTGAAAAGTCGACATTCATTTTACCCAGAAACCAGTTGAAATATGGACTCATCTGACCACAGCACACATAGAGCACTGCATAGAATTGATGTATAGCTTTCTCCTAAAGGAAGTAACATAGATTCAAGTTGCATTTACTGATGCAGCAGCAGACAGTGTTAAGTGACAGCGGTTCTCACATTTAACTGAGATTTTTACTATTACTGATTTTTGATTTGTTTGTCACTTCTCTCATGAAATTTGTCACAAAATGATGAGCCATAATCCAGCTTTGCTTGCAAAGACTGAGATGCTCATTTATAACCAAACATGACACCCTCACCTATTAATTACGGTAAACTGTTTCAAAACAGTTTAATTTGGATATTCTATAACATTTTCACTTTTATCTTGCCTCTTTCTCAACTTTTTTGGAGTGTGTTGCAGCCATCAAAATCAACATTTGTTTATATTTACAAAATATATTTAAGTTGGTCAGTGAACACTTTGGAAATCTTTTCCAAATTAAATAAAATTTAAAGAGAATTAACAAATCACAGATTCTTGATTTTATTGCATTTTACAAAACTTTTCAAAACACGACTTTTCTGGAATTGGGCTTGTGGTGTTGAGCACTACTGTAAAGTTAACCCAGTTTAAATGTTTGGAAATCACTAACAGTTGAAAACATTAGAAATTTAGAAAAGTAAACAAACGGAATCAGTTGCATTACTTTAATAAAGTAACTAAAATAGTTACACGATTTATTACATTTTAAACAAGGTAATTTGTAACCTGTAACCTATTGCATTTCCGAAGTAACCATCCCAACACTGCCAACACTAAATAATGAATTAGGAGGACATATTGTAAGTAATGAGGGTAAGTGATATGTTGTATTAAAATTGTGAAATAAATTTAGATTTGAAATGAAATGTGAATTGCCTTTAGATGAGTTGTTGGAACCTTTTTTTTATATAGTTTTTAAGATGTTTAAGCTATCAAATATTCAATATTTCTATCTCGGGAACTCTTTCCTGTTGACCAGCAATCATTTTAATGCAAACTCGTACCTGGTTTTAGAAGGTGAAAGTTTAGGCTGGGTTAAAGGTCAATATTAAGATTAGATTTAGGGGTCAGGTTAGAGCTTTTTTCAAGTGTTTGATTATGTTGTTCAATTAATAAAAAACTAAGTATTATTTCTAAGTATTGTAATTGTATAGATATATAAAATAAAAGTTTATTAGATACGAGATTTGTCAGGTAAATGTTTTATTATTTTATTTTATTTTTGGAATAGCTCTAGATCACAGCTAATGCAAACGTGCACTTTGGCACATGATTTGCATGTGTGTGTGAGCACCAGTCTCGCTCTTCCGTTAAAGCTTTGTTTCCAGTCCACACAGTGTGAGTTCAGCCCTGCTGATCCCCTCAACACACTTGCTAACAGCTAATCAATATATCATGCGCCACACAAACACACCACATAGTTACAGGGAAATGAGGTGTGTGTTGTATGTGTGTGTGCGCCCCTCCCCTGCAGCACTAATACAGGGTTTTAATGAAGACTCCAGGGGGGTCGGCTACCTGACACTCTGAATCGATCTGGCCTCCCCCAAACTGACAGCTTCACCAACCTACCACCCACCTGTCTAAGTGAGTGTTTATAACATTGCCACCGTGTGTGCGTTTATAACATACTCTCTGAAAGCTTCATATAATAAAAAGACACAAAAATACATAAAATAAATGAAACAGAACTATCTATCTATGATACAATCTATTATCTCTATATCTATATCTATATATATAGATGTGTTATTTTAGTATCACTGAGAAACCATTAGTTTTTATTATTCTGAATCAGTTTTTATTTTCATAATTTCCATTTTAATTTGAAAGTTTTAATAATTTTGTTGTGTTTTTGTCATTTTTTGTAGTTTTTTTTATACGTTTATATAGTCTTATTTCAGTTTTAGTTATTTTAGTATATAAAGTTAAACGAAATTAAAATGAGAAATGTTGCCTTGGCAACTAGCTGAAATAAAGAGTTTTTATAGTTTATTTCAGTTAATGTTTATTTTTATTTTGAGTAATGAAAATACTTTTTTAATGGTTTTAGTTTCAGTTTTAGTTAACTAAAATAACCCTGATATACACACACACACACACTCACACCACACATGCACACACATACATATATATATATTAATAAAAATAATATATTAGATTATTATTAGTATATAATATTATTATATATCAGTTATAAGCCATTACAAATGCCTTTGAGCTCCAAGTTATTGTCCAAGAAATAAACATTCACTGCATCATGCAGACCAGAAAGGCTCTATGTGAAGCATTTTAAAGTATTTGTGTGAGTGTGTGTGTGTGTGTGTGTGTGTGTGTGCTTTAATATGTAGTTTATGAAGACACAAATGTATATAATTAATGTGTGGTATTACAATGAAAACATGGTTTTAAAAACATGTATTACAAGGAAAACTCTTGCTGTGTCCTCATAAACCAAATGACTTAAAAAACCATACTAAATTATGTTTTTTTTTGTTTTCTGTGAATAGGGTTAGGGTATAGAAAATATAGTTTACCATTACCATTACACCTATGGAGAGTCACCGTAAACCACATAAACAAGTATGTGTGTGTGTAGATACATTCATATATGCCCATGCATGGTTAGCTTTGCTCTCGACAATCCCAGACAAATTAGGAGTGATGGAGGAAGACAGAGAAAGCGCAGCCGTGTCAGTGTGCATGTGTGCGTCTGCACTGAAATGTCAGCATGGATCGATGGGGCTTAATGAGGACCGAAGTCCTGATGTGGTCAGAATCCACCAAAATGATCTGAATCTGTCCCCCAGCTCAATCCCATACCTGAAGCCCAATGCATTGGGGACCCATGGCCAGAATCCCCCCCATACACATACACATATTAGGGTACTTGATGGTATTAGATGGTAAAGACACCTGGCACGTCGATGCTTTTTCAACTTGACAAAGGGGGAGTCCCTCGGTCTCATCCGGAGTCGTGACAACAAACACAAGCTTCAAGAGAAAAACACTTCTGATGCTTTTACACAGAGGTGAACAGAAAAACGACACACTTCCACTCAAATAATCAGAAGGTTTTTTTTATGATTTCAAAGTGCTGAACAGAGCCTCCAGTGAACCAAAGAAAAAAAAACTAAAACCAAAAGAGACATTGAAAAACATGTTTTTTTTCCGTCTTTTTTTTGTTTCTTCTCCAAAAAAAAAAAAACAATGCACAACTTGTACCACAATATTTGAAAAAGCTATCAGATAAAAACACTTCAAAATATTAGTTTTGTATTGTGTATATATATATAATTTGTACTTCCTCATCTGTTCAAACTGCTGCCGTATGATAAAGTAAGCGAGAACGCCTAGTCAGTAAGTGTGTTCAAGCCCTTGTGGAGCCGGCAGTCTTTGCAAAATAAATACAAGCAGAGGCGAGAAGGAGAAAACCATGCATATAATCAGTTTTTACTTTTTTGTACATATAAAAGAAATTTTTGCAACAATGTCCTCCATATTAATAAATGGCGTAGACAGTATAAACATACAAAAATGAGCAAGAACGCGGAATGTTTCATTCCTCTCTCTGCACCTGCGTCTCACCTGCCTTATCCTCCTCCTCTTCCTGTTTTTTAAGTGCTCAAAGCCCAATTCTTTTTAGTCTGTTATGCTACCACTAAAATCCCTTGGTTATTCATAATAATAGTAATAAAAACTAAAGTAATTTCAAGTCTGTGGAACTTCGTCGTTAAAAAGTTAGTGCGCAGACCGGGCTAAATCATCTCAATTGAAACCGTTACCTTACAAGGCGTCTTAGTATTAAAATAATTTAGAGTTTGAAATAGGACTAAAACAAACACACACACTCTCTCGTTCTCTCCTCTCTCATTTCGTTTACAATAGCACTTAGTAAATTGCACTTGTTTGCAGGTTTCTGGGGTGTGATCAACTGTGATTCTGGACATTAATGCACTCTGTCGTTCTGTCTGTGTGGCGAAAGCCTCCCTCAGAGACACTCCTACATGTTTTCACACACACATCCACTTCATTTCTGCCAACAACAGTTGATATGTCATAATCTGGCATCTGAAGCTGGCTTTTTGGATCCGTGCGTATGTGTGAAAGGACAGTTTGCGTGCACTTGTGTGTTTGTGACTGTATGTTTGTGATGAACACAACTGCTGTCATTGAGGTGGATTGTGGTGGAACTTTTGGACTGCCTGCAAAGGAGCCACACACGGACACACATACACACATTCTTGCACTGTAATACTTCTCCTGACGTGGCGCACTGAGCTATAGGCATCGTGCTCGTTTCCAACTCGTTACATCAGATATGCTCAAACCCTGCCTCATATTTACACTATCAGGCGCAGAGCAGAGATAAAAAGCGCTTATATGATTGGTTTCTCCTCAGACACATTTGCTTCCTGTGAGGATTTAGGGACTCATGGGAAATCGAGTTCAGTGTCACTGTTAGCTACTGGCTCTGCTCCTCCCAGGGTGAGTTTATAGCCGCTGTGGCCGTGTCTGAGTGAACTTGTGGGCGTGTCAGTGGTGTGCAAAAAGGAGCGTGGTCATCAATAGGGCAAGGTGTCCAGAAACCTATCGATGAGTGGTGGGGGTGGGACCAGGTCCTCAAGCTTCAGGTAGAAGATCCTCTGTAAGCCTTGCGTACGCTGAGTTCGAAGCTCCGTCCTCAAACTCAGCACAGCTCCCACTGGGGGTGGGGTCTTGCCAGTTGAAGCCACGCCTCCTGCGCTGACCGAGCTCAGATGATCTCGCAGGCAGCAGATTAATTTGGATTGCAGTTCCTCCACTTTTTTAGGCTCCTTCAGACCGGGACATTGTTCTAAAATGAGAGGAAAGAGAGTGGTTTTAAATATTGGTTAAAATGCCACTATAACTGTTCACGCGCACCACTGAAACACATACCCAATAAACACATCACTTACTCTAACAGTAACAATATCTGCAGTTGGTTTGGGAATCAGGAATAATTTTTTATTCACAACCGGTCCCATTTTTGAAAAAGTAATGAAACCAAATAATTTTTGTGACATTTGAATCACCAATGCTGATAGATCACTAAACATATAGAGTGCCCAGTGCTGTTCTACAGTATTTGTGAACAAATGACTCTTGTGAACCAGTTATATATATATAAATAAGTATGTTGGTCCCACTTTATATTAAGTGGACTTAACTACTATGTACTTGCTTTAAAAAAAATGTACTTATTGTGTTCATATTGTATTGCAAAACACTGTTGCTGCTATTGAGGTGGGATACAGGCAAGGTTAAGGACAGGTTTGGTGGTATGGGTAGGTTTAAGAGTGGGTTAAGGTGTAAGGGATGGGTCAACATTGTAATTATAAATGTAATTACAGAAATTAATTACAGATGTAATTACAAGCAGGTATTTTTTTTTAATATATGTACACTGAAAAAACATGTATGTAAACAATAAGTGCATTGTGCCAAATTATTAAATTAAATATATGTGCATAGTAATTAAGGCCACTTAATATAAAGTGGGACCAATATTTTTACTAAGTTAATACTTTTTTTAAATGATATATTTAATTATAAATTATATATTATTATATCAAATAAATATGAATATATAATACATTATATAATTATATTAAATTAATAATAATAATATTACATATTATTCAATAAAATTTTTTTCTAATGATTCCCTTCCCAATCAGTCTAGTGTGTATTTCTTTCACACTTCACACAACTCCATGTGTGTAAGTGCCCACAGTATGGTAGAACAGCCATGGAGCGGAAGTGCAAAGGGATGCTGGCTTGCTTTGGACATATCTGTGTGTGTGTGTATGTGTGTTCCAAATCTATGTGCCTAGAGCAGCTCCATTGTCACTGCATTCAGCCTACGTCCTCTCTCACTCTTACTGTTTTTTTCCCTTGCTCTCTCTGTCTCTCTCCCTCTCTCCTGGGGGATGATCGATGGCGCTCTTTCACCACGGACACTTTTAGAGGGTCGATAGACTGAGTGGAGGAGTGGAGAGAGGGAGAGAGAGAGCTAGAGAGGAGAGGTAGGGACCCGAGCTCTGCTGAGTAGCGCTCAATTTCTCTACAGAGTTAAGTGCTGCTCCATGGGGGCTACCAAACACACACATGCACACACACACACATACACACATATTTACACACAACACTGTAGATTGTGGCTGAAAAAAGGGAGGTGAAGATTGGGCACTGGATGGGCGACTGAGTAAATTGATTGACAGATATATCTCTCTCTGTTCTTGCTATCTTTAAAATGAACATAAGATCAAAATTGTTCCTATCTTGATCCTTTTAAAATGTTTTTCCCAACATTAACATGTTACTAATCAAATTTAAAATGTACTTTAATGGAAAAATGTGAATACCACAAAAACTTTTTTTCCCCCGCAAATAAAGCAGTGCAAATACAGAAACGTGGTTTTACTTCTCTGAGCAAATTATCCAGTCACATGACTTGCTGAATTTAATTTATACGAAAATCTGAATATCGCACAATTTTTGTGAATAAAGCAGTGTTTTCATCCAACTTGATATTTTTTCTGTAAGTGTAAGTCACATGAACTATTGAATTTAATTTACACAAAATAATCTGTGATATTTACTTCTAAATGCTAATTATTCAGTCACATGACATGAGAACTTAAAAAAAAAAAAAAAAAGCATCTATAAATGTATTCAATAAGTTTGTTTCCATCATAATATATGCGCATGTTTTCTTACACCCCCCCCCCCCCCCAAATTTTTTTTATTCACCTCAAGTTATCATAAAAGATGCTGTCTTTAGAAACCCAGCTGTCTTTATTCTCATAATGCTTGCCAGAATGTGCCCGTGTTTCTGTGTGTGCGGCGGAAAGTGTGTTTGTCTGTATATAGGTCGACCTGCTGTTTAGCCTCTGTGTTAATAATGCATGGTAAGACTCAAGCACCTGCTGACCCAAGCACACACACACACTGCCTTACTTTGTTAACCAGTAATCAACTATCTCCACCTGCACTCTAAGAGGAGATGCACACAAACCTCACACCATCTCTGTGTCTCTGCTCTGTGTGTGTGTGTGTGTGTGATTAATGGGGATTATTTCTGCTGTCCAGGTAAACCTAATATCTGTCAGCACCTGCCCCACACCTGTGATCACTGTGACGACCGCTAGCAGCGGGACAAAAGATGTGTAAATATACAAATACAAGAGCGACAACAGGAAAAAGCAACCGGGAGGAAGTGACAAGTGTGTGAAATGCATAGAAAGGGATTTCACAAGTGTATTTCAGAGGTTGTGTGTTACCTGTGAGCAGCACAAGGGCGCACAAGCAGGAGAATGCAGGCATGTCAAGGTTGAGACTCTGCAGGTGAGTGCTGAAGTCTCGGATGGAGTCCAGCCACTCGCCGAAGCCGCGCAGGCACTGCAGCCGGTGAAGGACCAGGCCTGTGCAAAACACAAACTTCTCATCCGCCAGCAAAGACCTGAGCAAAAGAGAGGGAGAAGGGGTTTAGATGAAGAACTGTTGTTATTTATACTGCTTCAAGGTGCCGTTTGAAGCCACGAGTTCAGTCGCAGCCTTTCATCTTTTAATTAATCGCCGTTCTTCTCGTTCCCTTCAGAACAGGTACCTGTTTCAATTTAGCAAGCCTCTAATTCTGTACGTAGCCACACGCTATCAGAGAGCACACAGTCGCACATACACACGCTGATTATCACCTCTCTCTGATTCACGTGATGACGATCTGCCCTTCGATTGGCTGCCGAATCTGTGTTTAAGGCATACTGCACGGAAACAATTACCATAGCGACAAATGAAAGCCAGTACAGGGAAGAGCACATCAAAGATAGGAATGGACCTAATTATGCCAAGCTTTCCCAATTAAAGCTTTTAAAACATTCCTGAGATTATACTCTTTATTTCTCTCCCTCTCTCTCTCTCTCTCTCTCTCTCTCTCTCGGGTCTGTCCTTATGTGTTGGAGGGTTCTGGGTCAAAGCAGTAAAGTTTTATCTTCATGGTCTCACTGTATTCGCACGAAAATCATTTGTGTGAAATTGCAGCAAAACACCCAAACACTCACTCTCCACTCATCCATCTTCTTCTCAATCCACTTATCCTCTCTCTCTCTCTTTCTCTTTTGGTCTGTCTTCAGCCCTTCACTCTCAACCCTGCAATTCAGGAAGAAAAACTTCCTCTCGTTTTTCCCGTAGAGTGCTGGCTTCTGCTGCGTGAACTGTTCTTCATTAGTCTGCACGAAAACACACACTCGTATAGATGAGGAGAGGAAAGGAGAGGAGGAGTAATGGAAAGGGGATGAAGGGAAATATTCAAGAGTCATCTTCCGAGCTGCTTTTGAAGCCCAGAGGGGTAAATAATCAAAATGTGTGCTTCATTAATGCAGTCTAATGGTTTTACACCACTACACATGAATGCATATATACAGAACCCACAGACACGGCACTGGTGATGTTATATTGGAAAGTGAGCAGTATTTTACCCTATTCACTCCAGGAGAGCACTTGAAGTGAGTACTATGAAGGGTGCAGGGCTCTTGTATTCTACATGAAAACATACATCACTGTTTCTTTATTTTGAAGTGGAAAGTTACCTTGATAACAGAAATATGTATGCTAAAAACTATTCATTTATTGTTTGTTTTCTTATGTATATTTATTGTTATTAATATACTTTTTTGACAATATGAATTTTATTTTTGGTGAACTATCCCTTTAAGATGGTTGAAGCAAATAAAAAAATATTGACTCTTTGTGTCTTAAACTAAAATGCATTTTAAGCAGGCTATCTTCCTGTGTCACATTTGATTAAAAAAAGAAAAATAAGTAAAAATATACAAGGAATATTTTCAGCTAATATATACTACCGTTCAAAGTTTGGGATTTTTTAAAGATATTAATACTTTTATTCCGCAAGGACGCATTACAGTGTTAAAAAAGATTTCTATTTCAAATAAATGCTGTTCATTTGAACTTTCTATTAATCAACGAATCCTGAAAAAATGCTTCATGGTTTCTACAAAATATTAAGCAGCACAACTGTTTTCAACATTAATAATAATAATAAATATTAGTGTCTTAGAATGATTTCTGAAGGATCATGTGACACTAAAGACCGGAGTAATGGCTGCTGACAACTCAGCTCTGCCGTCACAGGAATAAATTACATTTTTAAAGTTATTCAAACGGAAACAGTTATTTTATGTTGTAATTATATTTCACAATATTACTGTTTTACTATATTTTCATTAAAAAATGCAGTCTTGGTGAGCATAAAAGACTTCTTTCAAAACTTTTGAACGGTAGTGTAGTAGGCAATACGAGAGAAAGTGAAGGTTTGACTATAGGTTTTAAAAAGAATCACGAGGATGCACCAACCAGGTTCACATTTTCATAAACAGCGAAATTACTACCTTGCATGTACCCTTCACTAACAGCCATGTGGAAGGGCCCTTCATGAAGGGTTTGCAATCAGTCCATTATCTACTGCTGCCATAGAGAAGGGAAAACAGGAAGTGAACGCTCCTCATTATTACAGAACAAAATTAACAACCAGCACCCTTGAGGAGGAAAACACAGACATTCCGTTTAAATTTGCATCAGAGCTTAGTTGTCTCTTTGCGTCCATTCATTCACTAGCCTCAGTGAGGCCGCGTGGCCAAAGAATATGTGCATGTGTGAGCCACATCAGATACCATTCTCTGGTGTGGGTTTTGGTGGTGTATAGTCTATTTTCAAAATATGTGAGAACCGTGAACGTTTGTGAGCGGAAAATGTGCAAAATTTGCCCTTATTGTGAAGTCTCCACACATTTATGCATATCTTGTGAGTTTTCGAGTGTCCGTGACGTAAGCCCGGATGAATCCCCCCACTTAAATGAGTCAGAACCCAAGTCTGCAGCTCCCTACTGAGGCTGTGACGCCACCACCCACTGCCCTCCCTCCCCGCACCTGCTCCTACACCATCAGAGAGGGAGAGAGAAACACAGAAAGAGCACCAGAGCTAGTTAAACAGGGAGCAGCTGAGCTGAGACAAAAATCCACTTCCTGTTAAAGCAACATCAGAATGTCACTGAGTCACTGAAACACGCACACTTCTACTTCAAGTCAAGAAACAACAGGTTACTTCTAGTCTGGATGCAAACTCTTTCAGCCTTGCGAGTAAAACAGAAATGCAACATAATATGGTGAATGTAATATAAGTGATCATCAAAACAGAGCTGTTTCTGCCACACATAATGTCTTGGGAGGGAGAGGTGGTTAGGCCGGGCTGTTAACCAATAAACTTAAATAAGTGAATTCCACAGGATCTTCCACACAGTGTCCATAGTAACCTTACAGTGCTGAATAGAAAGCAAGAACCCATGCTCACACACAGACACACAAACACTCGTTGTATAGGAAGTCACAATGTAACTAACAGTGACTGCACCATATTACAGAAAATAAATCATGACACTGCCTGTGAATGACTTCTTTCAGTCATAATGATACTTTACACCTCATGCCAATTTTTAAACCAGAATGAAAATCGTAAGAGACTTGTGAGACATCACTAATAGCAAGTCAAAAAAAAAATCTGACAGTTGCTATGAGATATTATGAGTGTAAAGTCAGAGTGTAATCACTATAACTACCGTTTCCTCCCACAGCTATAGCCATTCTGACGAGAGCTGAAAATGTCTAATTAGGATATTATTACAGGATTCATTCTCTGTATTGTATTACATACAGAGTATTTGCTTGTGGGGTTGGGTGATATAGTGAATATTAATGACATATTGCTCGTAATATTATATTAAGCAACATTGTGAACATTGTGATGATTTTGATGCACTGTTTGGAGTCCCTGATTAAATTTCAGCAGCAAAAAAGAGATTAGAGTTGAGTTTGATTAATTCCTGTGAATCACTTCAAACTGTTCATTTCAACAAATTGATTCATCATAACACTGACATAACATAATTTGCTGCTTATTAATAGTTAGTAAGGTAATTGTTAAGTTTAGGTATTGGGTAGGATTAGGGATGTAGAATATGGTCATGCAGAATATGTGCTTTATAAGTACTATTAAACAGCCAATATGTTAATAATAGGCATGCTAATAAGCAACTAGTTAATAGGGAGAATTGGTCCCTATACTAAAGTGTTACCAATTTTTTTTGGATAGATTTTTCTTGCATTTCACATCTTACATTAAACATTTTTAAATCTTGGCTACAATGACGGTTCTTCTGATTAAAAAAATATATATTAATTTTATATTAATATATATTATATATTTTTTAAATAAATAGAAATAAATAAAATAAATATTGGGAACGATTATATTGTTGTTCTACATCTTGAATTTTACATTATATATATATTTGGCTAAAGTGACTGGGTGAAAAAAATAGCCTTTAAAGCAATATTAGGTAAATAAATACTGAGATATATACAGCACATAATCAAAGGGTTATGAATGTAAGGTTGTTTTTGTTCTATATTGCCCAGCTTTATTATTATGGATGTTTTAATGTATGCTGAAGATTGTACTTGCCAACTTTTTCAGAGCCCTAAATCCTACATTGGAAGAATGTGCAATGTGAGATCTCTGTTTATCTGCATGTACCTGTTGGCGAGGCGGAGCACAAAAAGCTCAAGGAAGGCAGAGTCAATGAGCAGGTTCTGGTCATCGTGGTGAAGCTCAGAGAATCCAGGCAACCGTTCGGCCCAGCAGTGCGTCACCTCCATGGAGCCGGTTAGCACTCTGTAGAACATCTGGATCTGCTGAGACTCAGATAGACCCACTGGCTCCACAGCACTGAACTACAGGAAGAGAGCGAGAGAGATGAGTATGCCACACAAATCACAATCACTCATTTTTATGTGATACCAATGGATGGTGAACCCTCTGATGCATGACATCCACTATAGTGGCCTAATCTTTGCATTTTATTACCATTCAAGGAAAAGATGATGGGTCTAAAACATCATGACTAATCACATGGGACACTTTCTCATTGTTCTAAATGACTGTCCTCTTTATATGCGATTGTGTTGCTATTTATGACTTTATAAATTCAAAATGGCTGAAAATAAAATAAATGGATGGTTATATTGTTGTTTTAAAATATAACTTTTTGTGTTGTAATTTAATAATCATACATCAAAAGGTTAAATAACGATTTGTTTCAAATGATCCTAGACTGATTCAAGGATTCCTTTACACTCAGGTACCTGATTGTAGTCTAGTTCTCGTGGTGTAGACTGGGAATAGGCCCGCACTAGTGCGTTCAGCAGGCTGAGGGGAGGTGATGGGGGCGAGGACTCTGGCTGCAGGGGACTCTTTGGTTTAGACGGTAAGCGACCTCTCCTCCCCTTCAGGTTGTCTGTGCGCACCACTGTGTCAAACACACAAACAAACACGTATTTTAGACAATGCACAGGTCCACACGTAGTTAAAACATCCAAATATTACTATAGATTAATATTATTCAAACCTTATGATGTAATTTCACACATACACTAATGGTTACTGTGTATTTGAACACCAATGAGCAATATTGTGTTGCTAAATTATACCTCATAGTCATTATACCAATCCCTAGGAAAGTAAGAGTATTGTGCACTTCTGCTTTAGTAGTTTTAAATAAAAGTTTCTTTCCTTCTTTTTCTGTGCCTCTCAACAGTGCTTGACTGACCAGTAGGGGGCAGCTGAAATCTGCACGATCCCCGGTGGAGGGAACGGGTGAGCGAAGGTGAGATATAATAAGAACAATGGATGCCTGTCCTAATCTCCGGCCGATATGGATAAGATGATCAAAGGTGTGATCTTTTTAAATCACATGGTATTCATGCTTAAATTCTACAAGAATTAAATGTCCCCGTGAAAGCATGTGCCTGTGACTGTCCTGTGTGTTGTGTTATTACCGGTTCTGAAGCTGATGATAGGCTGTGATTACAGAGGCGAAGTACTGCCGGTAAACACCTCCATTATAGTTTAATTCATGCATTCATACTAACCAACCAAACCAGCTACGCGTCAAATCTGTATTAATCCATGGCACTTCTTGAGCGTAGTGTGTGCATCTGCAGGTTTTAAGTCATTAAGATAAAGAGTGTCTATCTCCTATGCATCAGTCTCTAACCAGAGGTCCATCCGAGGTCATATGCACCAGGGCCTATTGTGTGATAATTGGTTTGAGTGGCTTGGCCAGACATATTATAGGTGTGTGTGTGTGTGTTTGTGTTTGATACCTTCTTTCACCATGCCTACACTGAGACACTTCTGGAAGCGGCAGTATTGGCAGCGATTTCTTCTCCTTTTGTCCACAGGGCAGTTTTTACTGGCCAAACACACGTACTTCGCATTCTTCTGCACCGTCCTCTGCAGCCACCGACAATAAAAAGAGTAAAAGAAGAGAGAAGAAAAACAATAAGCTAACAGGTCTAAACATTTTATTTATTTAATTCAATTCTGTTTTTGGCTAAGAATTAAAAAGGAAGTTTGCAGGTCAGATTTTAATTACAATGTGAAAAAGCTCTGGCTCCATCAGGATAATTAGATAAAATTAATTTCCCAACATGCCTTGCCTGCAGGAGGGACAATTTTATTAGCGCAAGCTACTGACAATGAAGATCAGTGCAAAGCGTGCTGAGGCTGCTCCCGCGAGACATCCCGCGCTGCGTGATAAAATTGTTTGTGAAACTCGCGGGTCAGCTCACGGCACCTCAGGGTTTTGGATGATCGTGCCTCTGCAATAAGCCCCCCAGGAGTTGTTTTCTCCTCGGCTGGAGATGCGCGATTATTGCTGACCTTATTAAAATGAAATAAAAACTATATGCGAGTACTCGCGCCATTAAAAAACACAGCAAAGAGGAAAAAGACTTTGTGCATGACAATGCTAAGGTTCAGACATCAAGTGCACGTGCTAATGGTAAGCCAAAAGATTAAGCACTTGCGTGAGACTGGTAAATTCTGTGGTGATTAAGGTAATATCCAAAACAAACAAAAACAATGCTTAAACAAGCTACAACTACGGTCAATTCAATAGCACTAAAATGTACATCAACATTGTTGGTTTCATTGTGCAGTTATTTAATTAGCAAGGCTGCTAGTAGTTCAAATGAATAATAATAATTAAAAAAACAAACAAAGTGGGAAACCTACTCTTCATGATAGTAACTAGGTATGACTGAAATATATATATATATATTTATTTTTATGGCATTAAAGTTTAATGCCATCTTTGTTATGTGGCTAGCAGCTACTGGCTAATGGTGTCCTCTGATTGTGCTTTTTTGCCTTTATTTTTTAAGATAAGTTAATCTAACTTTAATTTTTGGTTTGTATTAAAACATTTTCAATAAAAACTATTTAAAAAACATAATACACATGCAGCTGTTTCCAACAGGTGTAAATGAAAATCAATTAAAGCACCTGCGTTTCCCAGGAAGCTGGAATTTTACCGTCAGGTGAAGTTAAAACACTCACCCACATACACGTTATCCATGTGATTTGCACGGTTTCTCATATTTCACTTAAATTGAACATAAAACTACCACAGCGGCCACGGTAGAGTGGACTAATCTCCCAGTGGGCACGCAAATGCACTTGTTATCTAGGGGAGTCTACTCAGTTACAGCTACATTCACACTGATTCAGTATGACTTGATTAAAATACAACCTGTGGAGCACATCATCTCGAAAACACCCTGGGCTTAGTCGGAAAAAACACACACACCACGCCGTTTCCCCCTGCACCACATGCACAAGTTATCTGAGTGCAACTCCATTCTATACTGTGACAGATTCTGTCTGTCGGTCACAGTCATTGTACGGTCCACAAAACAGAGGTTTTATTGCTGCAGGAGCTCACTAGATGAATAGACATCTCATGATGTTCATAAAATAAGATAAACGGCTGTACATATGATGGCCATTAAGTGACTGAAACACTTTCTGTGTGTGTACGTGCATGTGCATTTGTGTTTATGCTCTAAACGATGTCACAGTACAAAACTCACGGTTAAAACAGTTTTCTGACTTAGGTTACATTGTAACTTTTATGAATATGTCTATCAATTTCTGCCCACAAACAAATGGCAAAAAGCTTGAAAATCAAACACTACACTCTTAAATATAAAGGTTCCGAATGGATTTTTACAGCAATGCCATGGAAGAACCATTTTGGGTGAACAATTCTTAAAGAACCATTTTTTACTTAACGTAAAGAACATTTTAATAATCAGAAGAACCCTTTTCCACTATAAAGAACCTTTTGTGAATTTAAAAGGTTCCATGGAAGGTTCCAAAGGATGAACTGAACTATTGATGCCTTTATTTTTAAGAGTGTATGACAAATAAAAAAAACTAAAACCTACTATTATTGTTGAACTACCATAATTCTCTCATGCAAGCACACAAAGATACAAACACATACACACACAGAGTTGCGGTCCAGTGCACAGCAGGGTCCGTAGGGTTGGTAAAGACAAGCAGTTGTGGATTCATGACATGTAACATGTGCTAATGGCCATGTCGCACATTAAAACCCCTTAGGGAACCTTTATCCCCCTCTCCTCTTCCTCTCCTCCCCTAATCAGAGATGATCAGACTATCTTCTTTTGCCCTTTCCTCTGGGTGTGTAATTAGACGTGTATGTATGGCTGTTCAATAGGAGAGGTGGAACTGGGTCACCATTAATTGGTTAAGTGTGTGTGTCTGTGTGGATTGCACACTTGGACTGTATTATAAGACGACGATGTCTGTGAATGAAGCACATTTTAGTGTGATTATTACTAAGCACTCTATAAATGCCATAATGCTGACACAAATGCACATTTATCTTTGTTGCAACTGATTTAATCAACGTAAGCTAACAGAAAGTGCTGGAGATGAGTTCAAATTCAGTTACGAGTAGTTAAGTGCTGTTAAACTTTTAGTCCAGTGGAGTGGGCTGAACGTGGAGGTTTTGTGAATGAGCGAGCCTGTCTTGACCCTCTATTAGGTAAATATTCATAATAAATATTCTCACTCGGAGCATGTTATGAGTCACAGAGCAAATTACAAATCAAATAAATGGTGTGAAAATAAGTGGTGTGATCGAATGAGCAAGACAGAGAGAAAAGATTTTGTGTGCTGAAATTGGCAAGTTATTTACTATTTTTCATTGTGAAACAGCAGAACAGTTTGTATTCAGATGTAAAACAGAACCATAAGTGAAATGATTTAGTGCCTGATAATGAACAAAAAATGCATGCACACACCATTAAAAATGTATCTTAAAAACTAATGTACTAGGAATCAATGTGCATAAATATCACAATAAACTCTATTGTATAAAACACATTTATGAGAAATTTTTAAAAGAGCATTAGCAGTCTGACAAAGGACATACACTGCCACACAATACACCAGCTTGCATTAAAATTCACCTGCTAATATTTATATTGTGAGTTAATGAGTTGCCTGAGATAATTAAATGGTGAGCGTGTTTTGTGAGTTGGGGGTGAGTACGAGTGTGTGTGTATGCATAAAAATAAGTATGCTGATCATCTAAGACTTGCCAGTGTGCATATGTCATTGTTTGGGGATGTCATTTGTGTGTATGCATGTGTGCCTGCGTTGCAGTAATGGCTACAAAGCCTCAGGCTTACCAACCCCTGCTTTTATTAATTACTAAATAAAAACTAATTGTGAAACTAATTGAAAAGAGGCATAATTTATTTCTGCACCAGACCACAGGCCATTTCCAATTATTTCAGCTCTGTCACTCTCGCTCCTTCACTTTCATTGTCAGTCTTTCAGCATAGTCTCTGAATATTTTAAACCTTCTCGCTGTTTCTGTAATATTAACCTGAGCAAATAAAAAATTACTTTTATCCATAAATGTGAAATAAATGTGAAATATAGGTTAAATTCATTGTAAATGTTAAATTAAATCTTTATACGCTAGATTCTCCTCAGTCTGTGAGTGTGTGTGTTTCTGGCTACAGCTCCAAGCTGCTGTATTTTAAGTGTGCGCCACTGTCACACCTCTCACTGGTCACCGAGGGAAACGACCCTCACAGACGCCGTGGCAACCACCGCTCAGACGATTTGTGAGAGCACTCAGAAGACACACACACACACACACACATACACACATTCACACTCAGTACAAACAAGCCAATACTTCCGTGAAAAGGCTGAGCAAACCACAGTTGCACCTCTGAAACTGAAATTAAACATTCTTTCAGTTTTTGTGCACAAATTATTTTCTGTACAGCCTCAAATGGTGGTATAGACCTTATAACAACCCCCTCTTCAAATGAAACGACAAAAACACACACAGCTCACAGAAGAATTGCTATTCACATGGTGGGCTTTAACCTTGGTTCAAACGCCTGCGGAGTGCGTTACAATGATTGGTTAACCCTGAGCCTCACACTCAGAGAATGAGGTGCGATCGGTGTAGAGCAGTGTGAGGCTCTTCAACCAAGAGCTCCTTTCAAACCAAGAACAAAACTAATGACCACTAATGAATACACAATTAACAGACACTACCCTGGCCACACTGCTACATAAGAGACGGAAAAATCACACTGACCGACACATACTGTACAATAAAGCACAAGTACAATCCTCTTACACTCCATTTAATGACAGACACACTCAGATACACAATGAGACATGCTTTTCAAATAAGCACACACTGAGGAACACGTATCAATCAACATAAACTGCAAACTCCCACGTCAGCTTCTACAATACTACAATCATATGCAATAGTATGAATAAATGTAAAGCAATAAGGGAAATCCAAATGAGAGATTACCTCCGGCAAGTACTTCCAGTCTTTTTCAGTTGACCTCAGCTTGTTTAGTTCTTTTAAATAGTTCAGTTAATTGTGTTGTGTTTTAAAGAGATAGTTCAACCAAAAAAGAAGATATTGTGAAAGAAATGTCATCTGTTTTTGTTCATACAGTAAAAGTCAGTGGGGTCTTAACCAGGGACAGAGGCCCACTGGGGACTTCAATCAATTTCCAAGGTGATCGCAGAATGACTTAAAGTATTTAAATTAATAAATGATTATTGATCTATTAAAATAATCTAAAATGTTACAAATCTAATAAATGTAAACTGAAATGTAAACCGAAAATATATCTTTGTTTACCCCTCAATGACTTTTTTTTTATTGAAGAACATACAGTTCTTGAAAAGATGAATCTTGGTTAATTAAATTAATTTATCAATAAGTTCAGTTTCTGTTAATAAAACAAGTTTAAAAACAAGCAGCTTTGTCATAATTACAGCAGAAATACAGAAAATATCTTAGAACTACTGGTTTAAAACAACATGATGGGACCCCTCTAACTATATTGCATGGATAAAAAACACTGAAACATTTGTCAAAATATCTTCTGTTGTGTTCCACAGAACAAAGCCGTACAAAAAGGAGGTGAGTGAATGATGACAGAACATTCATTTTTGAGTGAACTATCCCTTTAAAGGCCCAAGTACACGTGCGTCAGTGTGCAGTGGAATATTTTAGTTAAAGATATTAACTAAAAGTTCCTTGCGTATGATCCTCCTATTTACATTCAACAGAACGTCTTGTATGATTCTTTCAGTGAAAGTGTATGTCAATAAGGATTATTGTGCATTTGCAATGGTATACTCATGTAAATAGTAGTGACAGTGATGGAATTTGGGTGCGTATGTATTTGATCTGATTGAGAATTATTATAAGAAAACGAAAGTGCTGCTGGGATGCTTAATTCTTACCTTAAAGAAGCCTTTGCAGCCCTCACAGGTGCGCACACCGTAGTGCTGACAGGCCGCATTGTCTCCACACACAGCACAGCTACCTTCTCCAGAGCTGGTGCGACTGGGTGGCGATGGCAAACTCTCTCCCAGAAGCTGCGGGCAATGGCCCATGCCTAGAGAGCGGAACGCCAGGCCTCCCGGCTTACCCATGTTCAGGGGGTACATGTGTGAGTGCACATGTGAGTGTGTGTGCGTGTCCAGGCTGGGTGGCACATGTGAAGATGAAGAGGATGAGGAAGGAGAGCGTTCAGGGTGCAGCGGAAGGCCAATGGCGGTGTCATAGCCGCTGGTGGAGGGTGGTGCCGTCTGCTCGTAGAAATGAGGGAAGCGAGGGCTCTTCAGTGGACCTTCAATCAGGCAGGGCTGGGGCACAGGGGGAAGACTGTGTTCATCCCACAAGAAAGAGCTGCTGGGTGGGCCGGAGTGAAGTGGCGTGGGGGGCGTTGAAGGGGGCGACTGCTTAAAGTACATGGAACTCCCAGCTATTGCTTCGTCGGATGGTGCCATGGTTGGGTAAGACTCCTCCTCCTTCTTGATAGGGCGTTGAGGAGGGAGCTGATACAGACAGGAGGGTTTCGGCTCAAAGCCACCCTCCACAAACACATTAAAACTGGGTAGGGAAGTGGTGGCAGCCGCCGCCGAAATCTCCCCCCCACCAAGCTCAAACTTCGTGTAGTCTGTCGCCATGAGGTCAGCACTGTAGTCACCATGGTAACCAAAGGACTGGGCGGAGTAGCTGGACCCATGAGGTGCAGGGCCGTACTGGGCCTGAACGCAGGGCATGTCTACTGAGACGGGAAGAGAGGGAGAGAAAAACGAGAGAGACTTATCATATTGCCTTTTGGCTCAATTTTGTCTTCAGGTGTACAGACGATGTGATGTCAAACATATTTCAGTACTATTTTGTTAGTGCCAAGTTAGTAGAAACCCCATTCACCTGGAAAGATGGGTTAGGCTGTGAGCTGGTGGGCACACACGCAAAAAAGAAAAAAATAATGCATGTCTCAGTCCTGGCTTGGATTCTCTGAATTAAAGGAAATTCTGTCATCATTTACTCAAAGATATTTTTACTAAGTCATGAAAGTGACATTGCCACTGAAGAAAGAAATTCCTACTGGTTTAGAACAACACGAGAGTGAGTAAATGATGACAGAATGATCATTTCTGGGTGAGCTATCACATTAATAATGATATAAATTATTAAAATGTTTCCTTAATGTCAGCAGTTGTAGTTTACTTTCTGGACTTGAATTTCATGCCACTCTTGTGAGCAAACACCGTCCAACCCATCTAGCACACACATACCTACACTTGACTCACAAATCATTCTTTTATTATCCATCATCAGTCCTTATATTTCATAATTATACATATTCATAGATGTAAACATGCACAAAACAGTGTGCCCAACTTGTTAAGACAGAAAAATATGAGTTTATTCACTTCAAAACATGACGCCTAAAAGTTGTAACCAAAACGCTTTTAGATAAATATTCATGATGGTTTAACTCTTGTTAATTTAATGTGCACCAAGCACCTGTTGAAATAAAATGATCTTATTAAAAGCCACGAGGAACTCCCCTGCTAATCGTAGTAGTCTGTATCTTGAGCCAGCTCTGCGCTCCAGGAAAACCATATTGCCAGCGCGGGTTCTACAACTGTGCGTCTTGACACAGCTGTTTATGAGCGCATCTTTGCAGAGCTACCTGAGTCGGCGAGGAGATGTGTGTGCGTGTCCTTTGTTTGCTTATTTTCCCCTAGGTGGGGAAGTGTACACAGACCCGACGTCGGATTGACGCTGCCGTGTAGTGACTTCGTAATCCTTATGCCTCCAACACGTCATGTGTGTTTAGTCAAATCAAGAGGCTTATCAATTATGAACGCCTCTTTACCTGATGACTCGGACCGGTGCGCGCGCGGTCCGTTTCCTATGCACGTCGCTGGCTATGCATACAAACGCATACTGTGGCATACAGCATCACGGATAACAGTGAGTTTAATGTCAGCAGACATTTCTGTCACACCAGTGGATTCATAGGATAATGCACATGAGCAGATAGGGCTTACCTTAAATAAACTTTTTTTTCTCAATTCAACTTTCTTCCTAGAATTGATTTGTTTTGTTTATTTTTAATTAAAACAACTGTAACATTCCTTGTTGTCCAGCTTACTTTATTAATTCTAGTAATAAAAGTTAATGTTGCTATATTATTTTTCTCCATGTATTACTGAACGTTACATTTGTAATCCAAATTGGATGTCAAGAGAAAGTAGGCAAATATTTTGTAATTTAAAAAAAAAAAAAAAAATATATATATATATATATATATACTACATATTTCAGTGCGCATATTTTAGACGACTTTCAGGGGTGTCAAGTAAAAAGAATTTCTGTCACATTTGGGCTGTTCTTGCGCGACCCAAATAGTGTTTTAGCGCCCCTAGCGCAAATAGCTAGCCATCAACTATATTAAAAATGTTTTAAACAAAAACGATTTTTGTGATATATTTGAGAAATCTAGAAACCTAAAATAAGGCAGATAAATATTGCCAGTAGTTACATATGTTTGGTCCATGTACCGTTCGCTACAGACAGTAATCGAGCAGCTGTTGCTATGGTTACCTCCTCAAGCACATGCGGATCTGTTTACGAGCGTATACATTTGGTGCACTCTGATTAACTTGTTATCTAATAATCTAACTTGTACATAGGAAAGCCTATTTGGTGAAACTTATATAAAAGGTAACAACCTTCTATAAAAAGAAAACAAACTTTAGGCTAGTTTTAACTTTATTTGGGAGGTAGGCCTAAATTTACTTGGATAATTTATAATAGCCTATTCCCAATTCGCACCTTGACATAGGCCTATATATAGGAGGAGAGTTTTACGTCAAAGTGAGTGAGTGGGTGGGATAAGGTGCGACCCCTTCATCGTCATGGATACTGACGGAGGAATTAATGGTTTGAGGTCAATCTGTCCCGTGCTGGATGGAGCAAGTGAGTCAAACTTTCTTATAGCCTAACATTGACATCTTACACCACTGTCACCACACTTGAGATATTACACTTTATTTTTCTTTTCTTTCTTTCTTTTGTATTTTTAAAGTTTATAACGTATTTTATTCTCAATCTAAATCTGCAATATTTTTAAATGATACCGATCCAATTTTTTTTAAACTAAAAACACTTAGTAAAAATCTGTCAGCCAGCGATATAGGCACAGATATGCTGATAAACAAAAAATTGTTTTGTAATTTGAAGACTGCAAATAACTACGGCATTTATCCAATCAAGGTTTGGGTGTCTTTTTGACACACTTAAGGCCAGCTCAACTTATGTAAGACTAGACAAATCCTTATACAAAAATAAAAGCAGGACCTGACTTTCTGTCTGACTCTGTATCTCTCGTGTGTATCCGTTTATGGTTTGTTTGTGCACGTGCAAACCCCAGAGCACGTCGATTTTCTACCTCAGCTCCACATTTCACCATGACACGGATAATAAAAATGAAAACGCAGCCAACCTAACGTAAAAAGTCAAATTATTAAAAAGGTCTAGACCACATAAAGTCATACTGAAACGATGCTTTACAGCTGTGTATGTGTGCGTGCGTGCACCAGACAGAGAGCCCCACACAAATACACACGCAGGCTTATAGAAAGCGCTTTAGAGGGATAAAACAGTTGCTAACCTCGAGGTGTGCATTTTAGATGGACAAAATGCAGCTGTTCCAATAACTGTGATCGCTTGTTCATTGTCAGAGTGCCATAGATCTAACAAACAAAAACATCAACGACATATAAACAAATAAATAAATAAAATAAATAAGTATGACACGCTAACCAGTATGAATTTGCTCTTGAAACAAACAAGCATCAGTGGAACACAGGCGGCACAAATACAAACTTTCACTTTCCACACTAAGACAACAAAGACAATGTATTCTAACTGCAGCACACGAGGTTGCTATGATCATGAAGAACAAAGTGTGTTATGATGCAATTGGTAGGGTGCAAATGTAAAATGTAAGAGCTATAATATAGATTGCGCTCGTTCCATAAATTGGAACACAAATGCATGCTTTTTCTATAATATAAATGTACAACGACCATCTGTGCGACTCATGTTTTAAACAGAATTAAATGCAATTTGCCGAGGATTGTTGTACAGAGAAACGACAATGCCTTTAAAAATCAGTTATTAGTCCGGTTATTTGCATTTATTTTCGGGACAAACAAAGCTCTCAATTACAAACAAAGCTCTCAAGAAAAAAAAAACATTTTAGTTTAAACTTTCAGAAATTCTAGCCATATGAATAAATTGTTGCTTTAATTATACAGACCAAAAACTTTGTTTTATTATCATTTTAACAGATGTATAAAACATTTCACAGAGATTTGCTGAAATTTCCAAATTTCCAAAGACAAACCAAAATGATATAACAGCAAACGTTCACCGTCAACAAAAACTTTATTATCTTACTACCAGTCGATTTACATTGAGTAAAGGTGGTGTTGTTAAAACTACTAAATTATTATAGGCTAGCTTAATATAAAAGGTTTGAATATGAAAGCGTACACATAAAGTATGTGTGGAAAAGCTCTCCAGAGTCAAGAGAGATTTTTACAGAGACTTGTGGTACCTGATTGGCCTTTTGCGCGCTGAATCGTGGTCGGTTTCTCGGGTGGAAGCTGCACGCGTCTGGGGTCCGGGGCTGCTTTAGCACACGCGGCGGGTGAGGTATCCGGTAGCCGAGACTCAGACCTGGGCTGCAGGCGCTCTTCCGAACCGGTGTCTGGAATCGGGAGCAGAATGATTTAGTTCACAACTACATAAAGTCACACACACACACACACACACACACAAACAGGGAACTGGCAAAATAATAGAGAGATTAGGTTAAACTTCTTTTTTTATTATTTGCAAGTGTGCAAACTATTAAACAAGGGATAAAGGTTACAAGAACTTTCAGGCTCCACTAATACAGCCAAAATATATGCAGCTAAGTTTTATATATATAAAAATCTAACCCCTTAAACATTTGCATGAAAAAAGAAAATGAGTTGCATAAGGTCATACAAATGTGTTCACTGGTATTTTGTATGTCTTAGAAAAGCACACTAAATATAAGGAAATGTTCCTGTAAAATGCTATTCACAAATATTGAAATATTACTTGGCCAAAAAAGTTGTGGATTCTTTTTTATATAGAAATAATACAAATAAAACTTTGACAACGATAAAAATCGCAGCATTTGGAAACAAACAAACATTTACCAAAAAAGGAAATCCCAAGCAGAAACAGCATGACATTTGACAAGATGACCTTGTATCACACTCGATGGAAAAGCAAATAACAAGTGAAAAAATGCATTAAAGTCAATAGGTAATATGCATTCTTTAAGCACAAAAAAATAACAGAATCTCACACGTCTCCAAATACAATATATAATGGAATAATTCATTTTTCCTTCTGTTTCTGCATTCGAGCATGGAGGAGTACAGTTCTGAGCGGCTGATAAAAGATATTGCCTTGCAGTTTTTTTGCTCCATTAGCTCAGAATAATGACAGTGTCAGTGACGGTCGGACAATATTCACCTGGGCACTCCGCGAAGTCCGACAATCCCCTTCTTCGGTTAAATAAACCCAAAGCGCGCCACCGAGGAGATTTTTAAAGCGACTAGCGCCCCCTCCCTGACAGAGGCGCGCTCACACAAAGCCAGCCCTCGACACTAGGTATTGAGCAGTCTTTCTCGATTCTCATACTAGAAACGAATCTGAATATATATATAGACTACTTACACTATTTTTTTTGTTTGTTTAATTGACAGTTGTAATATGGACAAAGAAACACGGGTGAGAAAAAATAACATTTTGAGTAGCCTTATAATTCAGTTTTTTTGTTTACCTCACACATGCGCTACTACGAAGCAGCAGGCTTCCATAGCTTTATTATGTTTTTTTTTTTAGTTCAGCCATGTCTTTCTGAGGTTATGTGTGATTTTGACAGAGCGTGTTTCAGTGCGTACGCATGGAGCCGCCGGTCCGCTTGTGCCCCGGTAACCTAGAGAACCGCGAGAGAGCACTGAAGCACGCGCTGTAGAGGCGCTCCGTTCTGCGTTCAATAAGTGCGCGAGATAGAGGCTTTCCAGCAAGCACACAAAGAAAGGGAGAGAGTGGAGATAAAGGGATGGGAAAAATACAAGTACAGTAAATTAGCTTGGAGAACGGGATTTGACACCCGTCGGGGACAGAGACCTGAGGGAAAGAGACAGGCTCTGTACTCACTGACCCGATCTCGCGTGCACTGCAATAAAACTTTAGTGTAACAACTCACTTGGATAGTTGCGCTGATCAATATACTGTCGTATCATACTCTTATTATAGACGGTTCTGTCGTGACATTTTGTCTATGAAATAATCAGACTGCTTATATAATCTTTACTTTGTCATTGATTTTTGATTCTTGCAGACCTGGAATTCACACCACAAACTATAGTGAAAGAAAATACTTTTTAAAGCACAACAAGAGCGCGTTGCTTATGGGTGTATCGGTATCACTTCATTACATTACCAAGAATGAAAACACCATACAGTTACTCCCAGTATACTCAAACACATTGATTGAGTTGTTATTGTTGTCTGTTCAGAAATGAGTCTTCTGAAAGCAGGGAAACACTTGCCTCCCTGGCGCTATAAATGTGATGATATTGAGTGAGTGAGAGTGGTAAATATGAAAATAAAACTTGAGTTAATTGTGACGACATTAAGATTTTTAAATTAAGATACGTTTGTGTACATTTATATTTGATTACTGTGCAAATGTGTATTCCAGTGTGTTTGACTGTAGTCCTTCAAGACAGAATGAATGAAGCTCGTGTTGTCATCTAACTGAAACGTGGCAAAAGCAATATTGATGTTGCTATACACCAAATAACTGAAAGTATTTGAACGCAGGTGCTGCTACAAACGAATAAACAAACCTTCGCACAATGTTAAGTCACGCTTTTGAGAAACGCGGAGCACTAGGCGCATCTCACGAGACTCTCTGCCGGCCCCGCGCGAGCTCACAGCGGATTCACCGGGGTGAGGAAGAGGCATCCCATTTCCATGACAACCTGAGAGAATATTATACGTTTCGCAAATTAAATTTGGATTCAGTCCATCCATCTCCAAAGACGTGGCACACAACACAACGTGTTTGTCTTTACGCGGTGGGGAACGAACATTCAACAGGTCCGGACCAGAAAGTTCTATATAACATAATGCCATGCAGAAATATATGAATGGAGACCGCAATACAAATGACAAGAATAAGCCAAAGCATGTTGCCAGTATTTTTACATTTCAATATGTAGCCTACACATGTGTGCTTTTTCTATCAAGCGTATTAAATATTAGCGCGTTTCCACTTACTTGATTTCTGGTGAGGTTCCGTCTTTACATATGTTTGTAAAGCCCAAATAATTCCTTGTGCATATCCAACAGAAATTAGTAAAAAACTGAAAATAGTGGCTGAGTGGAAGTTGGTTTCAAAGCCGCAAAAGTTGATGGTTTTTCATTAAAAAAAACTATTTGTTGACGGATTTTCCTCTTAGCTAAGAAGAAAAAAGTACTCCGTGCTTCTGTCAGCTCCACTATAAGTGTCGGCGTTAGTAACGGAGAGGATGCGCTGAGCGTAAGTTGCAATGTGCCTTTGTTTATGTGGCGCGCTGAGCGAGAGAAAGTCTAATAGCACATTTATCCGTCCCCGCTTCTACATAGCAAGCCTGGAATGCGTGACGTCAATGTGACGCCATGGGACAGAAATTAGTAAAAAACTGAAAATAGTGGCTGAGTGGAAGTTGGTTTCAAAGTCGCAAAAGTTGATGGTTTTTCATAAAAAAAAAACTATTTGTTGACGGATTTTCCTCTTAGCTAAGAAGAAAAAAGTACTCCGTGCTTCTGTCAGCTCCACTATAAGTGTCGGCGTTAGTAACGGAGAGGATGCGCTGAGCGTAAGTTGCAATGTGCCTTTGTTTATGTGGCGCGCTGAGCGAGAGAAAGTCTAATAGCACATTTATCCGTCCCCGCTTCTACATAGCAAGCCTGGAATGCGTGACGTCAATGTGACGCCATGGGAGAGGTGACGTCGAGCACTGTAGCTCCCCGGCCTCGCTGGTACAGTATACACATAAGCCTACAGTCCTTGCCAGGAGAGAGAGAGAGAGAGAGAGAGAGAGAGAGCGGGGGGAGGAGGGTTGATCTTCTGACTCTTTGCTAGTAGTTGTTTGAAATCGCGCAGTAGGCCACGTGTTATGTCGTCGACTACTTGCTTGAGGAAAATTAGTCAATAAATGTATTTCGTGTTAGAATAAGTCCACCGCTAATGAAACTATTTTAAATGGTTTTATTTTATTAGCAGGTGATAAATTATATAACTGATAAATGCACAATACACATACGTGTAGTATCCATAGTGTTTTTTCAGTACATGACTCACTTTAAACCTGTTTAGTAGTTATAAACGTTTATTAAAATGTGTAAGGTAACTAGATACATTATGGATGAGCGCGTGTGCTTGTGAATGCTTTCCTAAAATGAAGACTGGCATGCAAGCTTACATTGAAGAGGAGAAAAAACATTTTGTTATTGTCCAAATGACAGTCGCCTCAACGCAAACAAAATATCATAAAATGATCAAATATAAATGATAAGGGTGCGGAGTTGGGTGGATTTAAATCCTCAGCGTGCTTCCGCCGTGCACACTAAACAGATTATTAAATCTAGCTCGCGTTCCCCATCGTACAAAAAAATCTCAACAATAGCCAATCACAAGACGCGTAATTTCTTAGCCACGTTCTAATTCTGGCCAATGATCAGCTCCCGGAGGCGGGGTGAGGGTTTGACGCACTGAGACTCGTGATTGACGCAAGCGATGTTACTAAATTTAGCAGCTGGTTGCCCCGTGGTTTGAGATAGCAGATCCTTCATTCATTGCGCCGGGGCGGGTCCGTCTATTTTAGACATTTGATTGTGTTCCAGCCAATCCAAATATAGTCGTAGACAGGTATATTTAGCGGAAGCGTGTCCCCGTTACCTCTTACCAAGGAACAACCTTATGATATCCCCATAACTGTTACTGTAATGGGAGAAAGTATAGAGCCGTTAGCCTCTGGTAATTTCGCCCGTTGGCTCAGAATGAAGCTTTTTTCCTGCAGGTTTCTCCATTTTAACCATGTTGTTTAACTCGCTTGGCTTTCTGGAAAGCAGGATAGTATTAAGTGTGGACGTCTCGAGGACAGTCTCGACAAAATATCGCTAAGAATCTCTATACAACAATAGTGTACGGTATTACAGGTCATTTTTTTCTTCCACAACTCATGAAAAGCTGTTGCTAAAGTAATTCAGGCTGAACTTGCGAAGCACTGGCATCAGGGTCCATTTCTGAAAGTAAATAAATGCCTGGATGAATATTCTTTCATTTTGGAGCGAGCTTGTGAGTATGTTTAAAAAACAAACGTACGTTTATTTTAGTTTATTTCCCAACTTCAAGAAGTCCAGTAGTATATAAGGTGGTCTGTAGTTGTGGGGAACATGTTCCACAGCGCGAGGCGTGGAAACGGTGCGCGCGCGGAGGGAAACTCGCTTTTAGCGCTGCTGCTTTGCCGTCACGGGGAATCCCCTCTCCGTGACCTTCTTTAGACGCTGAAGGAGGGAGAGGGTAAACAGGGTCAAGTGATATTAGCCTCGTTTGGGACGAGACAGATTCAGCTTGGAGTGGTTTGAGACAGCTACTTAAATATCAATTGG